TGGGACGGAGCAGGAACGGGGCCGGGAGCTGCGGGACGGGGCAGCGTTTGGCACCGGAGAGCTCCCGGTCGGGGTGCGGAGCCCTCGGTGCGGGGCTATGGCTTGGATGATGCAGAAAATCCCTTCTGGCCTCGGGAGCCGCCCGTCACCTCCCGGTTTGCTCTCCAGAGCATCCTTCAGCACCGGGGGTTTGGGTTGGCTTTGCTCCATGGCTGGGGATGGGGTTGTGCTGTGTGCCGGCACCCGGACCGGCCGGGATGCCCTGGGGGGCTTGGGGGCTGGTGCAGAAGGCACAGACTGGTTTGTGTGTGTTGCCTTTGCAGGCTGGCTCGAAGGGGATAGGGGATGCTGAACTCTGGGTGAGGGGATGCTGAACTCCTTGTGAAGGATGCTGAGCTCTGGGTAAGGGGTGCTGAATTCTGCTGCTTGTGCACAGCGTGGAGCCCTTGGCCGAATTGGCAGCATGGGATCGTGCAAGACCCCCTCACAGCCCTGGAGTGGGCTCGGTAGTGGGTAAACAGGCAAATTGCAGTAAAAAAATGCCATTGCAGCAGCGTAAAGGGGGCCTGGTTGGAGGCCTCCACCCTGGTGAGCTGGGTTTTGGCTGGTGTGTGCTGAGCCGGGGTGGGGACAGCAGAGCCACCACTGGTGACATGTGATGGAGCCTCGTTATCCACTTGCTGGTGGGAATTTTAAGAGAAATGGGGTAGAAAACAAGGTGAAAGTGGTTGGTTTTGGGTTGTGGTTTGTTTTAAGCATCTCCTGTTGCCGGGATGCTGTGGATGTAAGGGCACAGGAGGAGATAAGGCAGCCGGGGGTCCCGGAGGGCAAGGTGCCAGCGAGCAATGTGGTAACAGGGCAAACACAACCGATTTCCTCTCAATTCCTTGTATCAGATCAGCGGCTTGGAAATTCCTGTTAATTCTCAAATCCAATGGCAGCCAGAGAGAAGGGACACCGAGCCCTTGTCCGTCAGAGCGAGGGACGCGGGGCTGGCCGTGGCGTGCGGGTCCGGTGATGAGGGATGTGACGGTGGCTGAGGGATGGGTGCTGTGGGCTGTGGTCATCAGTGAAAGGTGATTTCGGTGGGGCTGTAATGAGGTGGGGTGTGCATGTGGGTCCTTCCTGAGGCACAGCAGCCGCTGAAGGACAGGAGAAGTGGACGTGCAGCCTGTGCCAGCTCCTCGATTCCTCTCATGGACGGTGGGAAGGGCTGTGGTGTCCTCATCCCTGGGGCTGTGCCATCCCTCTGAGCATCCCCTGGGAGATCTGCATCATCTCGTTACCTGACGGGACATTAATTACTCAAGTCCTGTTCCCTGACTGCCCCTGTTGCCGGCTCCTGAGTCTTACAAAGGGGCAGAAGGGACGCTGCAGTGGTGGCAGCGGGGACGAGGGGGTGCTGGCACGTCACCATTGGCACGAGTTGCTTGTTCACCTCTGTAAGACGATGGGTGGCGGGGAGGGCTGGCGAACCGGCCAGGCACCGGCTCGGCAAATAAATACATGGCTCATCTGGACTGTACACGGCGCGGGGCAGCGCTTCTCGCCTGGCAGAGACGCCCGTCCCCAAGGAGGAGAAGGCAGAGCTGGCTCAGATCTCGGTGGCGATGATGTCCTCGTAGGGGACATCGGCGCCGGGTATGTCCAGCTCGATGGGTTCTTTGCCGTCTTCCCCCGTGGCGAGCTGCTGGAGCATCTTCTCCAGGTTCTGGTTCCTCTTGTACATGTGCAGGTAGCTCTGCTGCAGCTGCTTCTGGTAGTGGATCACCTTCTCCTTCTCCTCCTTCCACGTCTGCCGCTCGTGCTGGAAGCTGGAGGTCATTTGTTCATTGCTGTCCCGCTCGACCTTCAGCTCTGCCCGCAGCCTCTCCACCTCTCCCTGCAGGGCTTGGGCATCGTCCGTGCCGGCGCAGGGCCTGGTCACCTCCCGGGCCTCGCTCAGCTGCTCCTTGAGGACGGCCAGCTCCGTCCGCAGGTCCACGATCTCCTGCTCCAGCAGGTTCACCTTCTCCCGCAGCAGCTCAGACTCGTTCTTCTTGCGCTGGAGCTCGTTCTCGCACACCTCCAGCTCCATGGCCTTGGTGCGCAGGGAGCCCTCCAGGTCCTGGGTCTTCATCTCCAGCCCTTCCATCTTCACCCGCAGCTCCTTCAGCTGAGCCTTCAGGCTGAGGATCTCGGTGGTCTTGGTGTTGAGCTCTGTCTGGGACTCCTTCAGCTGCTGCTTCAGGAGGGAGATCTCCCCTGACTTCTGGCACACCTGTGGGGAGGGATGCAGCACCCAAATTAGGGGTTTGTGCCTCGGAGAAAGCCCGCAGCACTCTCTATACCCCATGCAAACCCCGCAGGGTTCAGCACGTGGAGACCTCGGCCACGAAATCCCATCCAGGGAGATGCCCCAGCACAGAGATCCCCAGGGTCTCAGGGGGCTGGAGGGGACCCCCATTAACACCCCAGCTGCCCTGGGAGGCTGCTAGCGATCAGTTGTGACAATTTAAGGAGTTGAGGTGTGGAAATGGAGGGTGTTGAGGAAGTGCCCAGGTCTCAATCGTGTTCCACATGGTCAGTTAAACGAGCCGAGCTCATTTCATGAGCAGGCACCCAACTGCACCCTGCACCCCACAAAACTGCAGCTGGGAGCAAGACGTGTAAACTCCATGGGAGCATCCTGTGAGACCCCAATGTGTGGCTCATAGGGCTGCTCCTACAGACAGCCATGGGGGCTTGGCATCCAGCTGCTATGGGGGGACCCTGTGGCTGGGACTTGGTAGGGCTTGCGAATTGCAAATAAACCAGAGATATTGAAAGCGATAGGAGAAATCCCTGCGTGTGTGGGAGCGAAGGTGAGCACGTCGGGCACAGCCACGTTTCTCCCTGCATGGTGCAGTGGACTTGGTGTGTGTTATTTGTGTGGGTGAGCGGGCTCGCGTCTGGATTTTCAGCGGTTTAATGGTCTTTGTTCAGCGATACCCAATCAGCGAGGAAAATTAAGCTTAAGCAGAGAGTGGGAGGTTTTACTGCTCTCTAATAAATGCCCAAGCAGTCCCTATTTACATGAGGGAAGGCACTTCACTGCTCCTCGGGGGCAGGCAGCCTGGAAATCCCTGTGCTGGAGGCTGGGGATGCAAAGTGGTTTTAGTGACTGGGTTTTATGCAGTGGCTGTTTCCTCATGCGGTGTGAAGTGCGGGGGTTTAAGAGGGGCGGTGAGGGGCACTCAATTATAATTCTCCATGTGACAGACGAGGACTCTCCTCAGCTGTAATACCCAACTCCTACAGCCTGGGCTTAGCGTGTGCCCCATCTGCAGTGCTCAGCCCCTCTGTGGGTTTGCAAATAATGGGGAAATGGGTAAGGGCTGTGTGGTTTATTGCTGGTGCCTTCCATGCTTGTGCTTTGCTTTCAGCATTGGTAGCCCGAGACATCTCTTGGTGGCCCAGCGCCGCTTACCTCCCACTGGGTCTCCTCCAGCGCCGGGGCGAAGCTGGTCTTCTCCTTCTCGTAGGACCGCAGCTTGGTCTCCAGCAGATTTTGCTCTTTCATGAGGTTCTCCAGCTCCTCCCGGAGCTGCTTCTTCTCCTGCTGCAGCTGGAACACCTGGAGGTGAAGGACCTGCTGCGTCCGCTGGGTTTTCTGCGACGTTTGCTTCAGCTTGCTGTTGCATTTCTGCTTCAGGCCCTCCAGCTCCTCCTTGCAGCGCCGCTGCTTCTCTTCATAAACCTGGCAGGAGCTGACTTCCTTCTCCTCGAAGCTCGACTGCAGCTCCTGCAGCTCCCCCTCCCTCTCCAGCAGCTTCTGCTCCAGCTCCTGGATGGTGGACTCATCTGTGGAGATGGGCGAGCGGATGCACGTGGCCTTTTCGGCGGCGTGGCGGTGGGGGGCTTTGCCGGGGTTGAGGATCTTGTTGCCGCCGTCGGAGAAGGACATGGCCTTCAGGCTCATCATGTTGCTGTCCTGGATGATGGCGCACTGCAGGATGTTGTGGGCCGAGCCCCCGAAGCGGCTGATGGGTCCCATGGGTGTGACGAGGGGCTCGAGCTGGTAACTGCTGCTGGTGCTGTGGGTGGGGAGGCTGGACATGGAGTTCCTGCCGGAGTCCGACAGCCCCCCCGAGTACAGCACCGGCTTCAGCCCCTGCTCCTTGCCCTTGTCCGAGGGGTGCAGCTGCTGGGAGAGGTGGCCCCCGTTCTCTGGGGAGGAGCGGAGGATGGCGCTGGACCGCGGCAGCACTGGTTTGAAGGCGGTCGGACGTGGGGCCGGCTTCTCTGCGCCCTGGGGAGGAGAGCAGAGCTCATCAGTATGGACCAACACCACATTAGGCATCCTCCCCCATCCCTTCTGTCCCCAAGGACGAGACCCCCCAGGGTGGGACAGCTTGGTTCTCTATCAAGGACCACAAGGTGATGGCTCAAACTCCTCAGTTGCGAGGCGAATGGTGTGGTTGAACGTGAAAGGATGACCCAAATACCCAAAAGTAGGGGTTGGCAAGGTGCCCCCAGCAGCTCCCCACTGCCCCTTTGCTCCCAAATCCTCGGCACAGACTATTTTCTCTGCGCCTTCTCCTGTGATGGGATCTGCACCCACTCAGAGGCCAGATGTGGTCCAGTGCCACCCCTCACCCCCATTTTCGGGGCTCCCATCACCCCTACTAACCACTTCCAGCTGACTGGGAAAGGGCATCAGCTTCTGCGGCGTGGGCGTCCCAAAATCCAGGCCCCTCGTCCCGGCTTGGCTGACCAGCTCACCGCCAGCCAGCGAGGTATAGTCCGCTCGGTGGGTGCCGTGCGATTTCTGGCTGACCTTGATGTAAAAGAAGTCCTCATTCTTGCTGCTCTTGGAGCTGGACTTGTGGCTGGAGTCCTGCGAGAAGCCGAAGCGCAGCAGCCCGTCCGAGTACCGGTTGAGCTTCTTTAGGTGGGACGACTTGCGGAGCTTGTACTGGGAGGCCCGGCAGTGCTTGCTGTGGAAGCTGTGGCCGGAGATG